GCCCCTGAGATCTTGTCTCAAAATAAAAAATAAAATACTAGCTCAGTACAAAGGCCCTGGGCTGTCTTCATTAAAACACACACACACACACACACACACACACACACACACACACAGTGCAAAGACCAGGCAGGCACAATCACACCTGCCAGTAATCCCAGCTACCTGAAGCTGAGGACTGAAAGTTCAAGGTCAGCCTGGGCAACTGGAGACCCTGACTTGAAATAAAAACTTAGAAAGGGCTGGCCTGTAGCCTGGGGTGGGGGCTCACCTAACTTCAGTGCCCCATGCGGCCCAGTTGCTCTCTCCCTAGCGGCTGCAGGGATGCGGCACGGTGCAGCTCTTCCCCACACCAACATCAGGGCTCCATAGGACAGCAGAAGCATCACTAACCTTCTTCCCCAGGTCCGGGACATCTTGATGCTGAAAGACAAGCCCTTCTCCCTGGTGCTGGAAGAGGATGGCACAGCCGTAGAGACAGAGGGGTATTTCCAAGCCCTGGCTGGGAACACAGTGTTCATGGTTCTCCAGAAGGGGCAGAGGTGGCAGCCCCCAGCAGATCAGGTGAGTGCCTACCATGAGGGGAGAAACGGACAGCTCAGGCGGAGCCCCGTGGGGCACCTACCAGGTGTCTGTCCTGCTGCAGGGGATCCAGTACCAACTCTCCCTCTCTGACAAGCCCTCCAAGAAGATTGATGTGGCTCGCATAACCTTTGACCTGTACAAACTGAGCCCGCAGGACTTCATCGGCTGTCTGAATGTGAAGGCGACCTTCTACAACACGTACTCCCTGTCCTATGACCTGCACTGCTACAGGGCCAAGCGCATTGTAAAGTGAGTGATCTGGGATGAGCTGGGGACAGGGTGGGAACCAAGCAGTGGCAGAGCCCCTAGCTGGCCCCCCGAGCTCAGCCTTCACAGGGCCTGGGTCTGGTGCCTGTGCCAAGGAAGCGTGACAGCATTCGTATAGCACTTGTGACCCACATATGCCAAAGGGGACACGTATTCCTCCTGGTGGAGCCTGGATATATTTATCATTACCTTCTTTTTGTTTGTTTGTTGAGATAGAGTTTCACTATGTAGCTCAGGCTGCCCTTGAACTCACTTTGTAGCCCAGGCTGGCCTTGAACTTGCGGCAATCTGCCTGCCTCAGCCTCTTTTTT